TTCCCCCCGTGCTCGGACCGCAGCCACGGGGCAGCCTCGTTCCAAACGCAAATATATTTAAAAATCGGATTCCTTCTTCTTTTTAAACGCGCCACGCAGGCACTGCAGCCCAGGTCTGCAGCTCGCACAGGCACGCGTGCACACACAGGCACGCGCGTGCGCGCACACGCGCCCTCCCCCACGCCCCCCTCGCTCGGCCTGGGATTACCTCATCCTCGGCCGGCCGCATCCTTAGCTGTCCGTCAGGATGCAGAAGCCACGCCCCTTGGCGCCGGCTGGCGAGGCCCCGGAACTCCTCCGCCCCCTGCTGGTCCTAGGCGTGGCGTGCGCACCACTGGCCGCCGCCTGGGTACCCACTGAACCACCTCTGCGAAGGGCACCCAGCTGCAGGATGCGGCAACGTGGCCAATGATGGGGCTATGGGGTCCACGTAGAGAGCCGTCGCGAGTTTTCTGGCCTGTTTTAAGAGTCCACAAGATAGGGGCTAACTCGATCAATTCTGTAGTATTTTTTTAAAGGGGTAGGTGAGACACTAGGACACACAGAAGCAGACTTGGCTATTCTGATCACCAGTAGTCAAGGTGGAAAATAATCTCAATGGGTTCTGACTGAAAGGACGATCCAAGTTGGAATTGTATGTTCCTGACTGGTATGGTAGAACATACCTGAAATCCCAGTGCATGAGAGGCCGAGGGCAGGTGATTTGTGTGTTTGAAGCCAGCCTGAGCTATGTAGTGCAATCCTTTGTCCCCAAAACAAAAGAATTACATTAATCTTGTCAGAGCACACACTTTGTTCCTCCGAGTCTGAAATCACATGAAACAATGAGTCCATTTTGTCAAGATTTAAGACAGGATATGGAAAATGAAAATAAATTATGTGCTGGGGAGTGAGATTATAAATCTTTTTGACACAACTATTTTTTCCATAATATCATATGATGTTTTTATATTTTGGAAGACAGGAAGAAGAACCAGACTAGATAACCCAGGAATGTCCAGGTGCTGCAAGCCACGACCAGATAAGAGAATGCCTAACAGATGTTGAAGTGACAGCTGTTAAGATGTGTGGGAGGCAGAAAGAGACTTTTATCTATCTATGTCCAGCCGGATTCTGCAACTGGTCTTGTATCTGCTGTGCTAAACAAGCCAGAGAATTGCAGCAGCATTAAAATGTCTGATATCAGGGATACCTTGTCTCCATGTACTGAAACATGTCACAATGAAACCTTGCCTTCCACAACTAATGTATGCTAATACAAAATCTTTAAAAGAAAATATGGACTGGACACTGGTGACTAATGCTTGTAATCTTAGCTACTGGGGAGGCTGAGAATTGAGGATGGTGGTTTAAAGACAGCACGAGAAGAAGAGTCCATGAGACTCTTTATTTCCAATGAACAACAATGAACAAAAAAATCTCAGTGACATAGCATTCTTCCCCCCTCCCCATTCTGTGAGTGTATAATTTTGATATCCAGGTAATACTAGTTTCACGCTATGAATTTGAAATATTCCAGCATGTTCTCTAGAACTGGTATTAATTCCTTTTTAAAAAATTCAATAAAGTTCCAGTAAAGCCATCTAGGCATGAGATTTCTCCCCAGAGGCTTTTAAGTTCCAAATTAAATTTCCTTTAATAGTAATGGCACTACTCAAGTAATGATTGCACACTGATTGAGTTGTGGTAGTTTTCATTTTTAAGAAATTGATCTATTTAGCATAGAAAGTGATCTATTAGCTGTTGAGTTTAGGTGTGTAGAGTTGTTCAAGAATTCTGTTATTACACTTTGGATGTCTTCAGTGTCTAAAGTCATATGATCATTTTATTCATCATGTCAGTATTGGTAACTTGTCATCTCTATCTCCAAGTCTCTCTCTGTCTCTCTGTCTCAGTCTCAGTCTCTGTCTCTCTGTCTCCCTCTCTCTCTTTCCTCCCCCTTTTCTTTTACACCTCTTACTTTACGATTTCCTTCCTTCACCTACCTGGTTTGCTCTTCTATTTAGGCTTTTGAGGTGGCAGCTTAGGTTATGGATTGGAGAAGCATTTCTATTTTAAGCACTTAAAATAATCCATTTCCCCTTTGACCCTGATCTAGGTTTTCCCCTCACATTTTGGCACATTTTATTTATACCTTTTATCCCATTTGATGTGTGTTTAACATTTCCTTTGAAGCATCCTTGGACCCATGCATTATTTAGAAAAGTATTGTTTAGTTGCCAAATGTTTAGAGATTATCCTGTTATCTTTGTCATGAATTTCTAATTTGATTTATTGAGTCTGCTGAGCCAACACTTAAAACTTCTAAAAACTTACTGGGATTTGTCTTATGACCCTGAATATGACCTTTCTTTCTCCAGGTGCTTGACAGGAAAGTGTATTATATTGTCAAGTAAAAATGCTCTCAGATCCTGTCAATTTATGATATTGTTTGGTTCTTTATACTCAGGCTTATTTTCTGTAAAACCATCCTCCAAGTGACTAAAAAAGAGAATTCTCTAACTATAAATGTCAATTTGGCTTTTATTATGATTAGTTTAGTTATTTCAGGTTTAATTTCTTGTAGTTTATTTCTTTGCTGCTTGTGCTTGCACATTTAGAAATCCCTGTCCTCTTGATTGCCTGTCTTTAAATCATGGCATATCATCCCCTCTCTGATACTATTCTCTGGTCTAAACTCCTGTTTATTTAATATGATGGTGAGAGTTTGGGGGTATACACCATCAGCTTAAACTCTGAATGTGAGTCTGACTGGGCTAAAAATCAAAAGATATGATGGCTGGAGACTCCAGAAGAAAAGTGTGTTTCTCATTTGCAGCTTTGAGAGGACACCTGCATTCTCTGACTTATGGCTTCTTCCTCTTGTCTTCAAAGGCAGCAATATTCATCTCTGTGTCTTTCTTCCTTAGTTACATCTCCCTCTGAATCTGACTTTCTCCTCTGTCTGTCTGTCTGTCTCTTGTGCTAGTCCTGGGGCTTGAACTCAGGGCCTGGGTGCTGTCCTTGAGCTTTTTTTTTTGGATCAAGACTAGCTCTGTATCACTTTGAGCCACAGCACCACTTCCGGATTTTTTAAAATAGTTTATTGGAGATGTCTCACAGACTTTCCTGCCTGGCCTGGCTTCAAACTGTGATCTGAACTTCCTGAGTAGTGAGGATTACAGGGTGTGAGCCACTGGCACTGGGCTCCCCCAATTTTAAAGACTGGGGCCATCCCACTGATCCAAGATAGTCTTTCTACCCTCAGGTCAGCTGATTAGCAGTATTCATTTTGTTTGCAACCTTTGTTCCCCTTTTCTATGTTATCTAATGTTCCAGAGATTCTTCCGTGTCAGCGTGAATCTTACCCCATAGTTGCCAGTTGTGTGTGTGCCATAGTTAGGTGATCATGGTTAGAAGACCCCTACCAAGACCAAGCAGCACACCACGAGGTAGAATCCCAAAGATAGTATCACAGGACTCTGGTGGCCTATGCCTGTTATCCTAGCTACTCAGGAGGCTGAGATGTAAGGTTGGCCATTCCAAACCAACCTGGGCAGGAAGTCTGCGACACTCTTATCTCCAATTAATCAACAGAAAACCGGAAGTGGTGCTGTGGCTTAAAGTGGTAGAACACTAGCCTTGAGTAAAAAAAGCTCAGGGACAGTGCCGAGGCCCCAAGTTCAAGCCTCCTAACTAACAACAAGAAGAAACCAAACCAAAACCCAACCAAAAAAACCCCTTTCCTAAATTTAGGTCCCATTCAAAGCTGACAGTCAGTGTGTGCACCTGCAAAATGGTGCAGCCATGTGCCTGCCCTGGAATATGCTGGAATATGCTCACTTCAGAACCAAGAGGTGTGTTTCCTTCTTCCTACTGGGGTAGGCAAGGTGTAACAATCTACCTTTTACGTTGGAGAGGGTCGTTCTGGTTTAGAGGATTCTTGAGGACGCATAAAGCTTATCTCTCATCATCTGACATGTATGGGCCAGGGTCATACAGGGCTTCTGGTGTGTTCCATGAACAAAATTCAGATGATAAAAGAAGGAACAAAAATTTCCTCCAGAAAGGCAATGGCTATTTTTCTTGTAAACTTCAAGACTCTACTGGATGAGCTCTTAACCATATCGTTTGAGATTTTTACTACTAATGTCTTTCAGACCTTTCTGTTAAGTCAAAAAGGAGGGAATCCCAGATGAGAAAAGTCTTCCTTAGGGTCAGGCAAAAAAGCTCAACAAGGTTGATAGCTACCTTTGTTTAGAGGGCATGTGCTTGGTGACTGTGACCCATAGGTGGCGATGTTGCACTAGGTAATGGCCTCCTTCAAATGCGGTTGTTTCTATACATTCAAATCCAGGACTTATCTGCGCAGTATATATGCCATT